TCAAAAGCCCATCTTTTTAAGGTAAGATCACAACATGAATGTTGATTTAATTTGACAAATAAATCGTGTTTTCAATGTTGAAGATTTTGGATGATATTGAGTTAGAGACTTAGCTACTTTAATGTTTAAATTTTGAACTACATGTATTAAAAATCTTTACTATTTCTTTATATATCAGACATGTGCAGCATACATATTTATGTTAGTCTATTATGGTACATTTTTTCTCAGTTGTTTGATGTTAATTATCAATGAATTAGTGTATGTGTAGTGTGTACATGTGTGTGTGAGTGTATGTAATATATATGTGTTTATTTATGTATTTGATTTATTATTGTAATTTCATTATGTTTTGATTGTAATATTTATATCTGTTTGTATTTTTTTTTTTTTTTTTTTTTGGAGAGTGGGGTTGCCTGCTCTATAATCCAATTATCTTTAATAAATAATGTTAAAAAAAATAATTTATTTTTAAAACTCCCATAGACCGCTCCTTTGAGCAAGACCAAGTAGTCTATATATATTTTTTAAAATAGGGTAATGGACAAACAAGGGACATTTTAGCCACAGGGAACACAACCTGTATTATACCTATGCATTAATTTCAAAAAGTCTTAATTTAGCAAACACAAATAAGTGTCCACAAAACATCAGTTAATTGTTATTACATTGTCAAACCTTTTTAGGGGTGCTTTTGTGGGTATATTGATATTAAAAGGTATTTTCAACCTTATATGGAGGGTTCGGGGATTAAGCAGTGTATGAGGGATGGAGGGGGGTGGTGGGCCTTGCCTTTGATTTATGCATAGTTATATTATTTGGATGCTACAGTGTCGACTTTATTAGAGATGAGGAAGGGTGGGCTTAGGGGATCTATTCTAACCAGTTAATATTAGGGTGAACTCGACAATGCAAAGTATGTATGTCTACACACGCAAAGACTACAGTAGGAAGAGAGCCTCTAATAAAATATAGCTTCACACACCTTGATTGATTTTGATATTTGGCAATTATCTATATTTATATTCGATTATATATAGGCCTATATCATTGCTATCAAACAACATTTCCAACCATTCTCAAATTATCTTAATACTCGAAGCTGTGGTGGGACGTTAAACACGATGCATGCAAAAATTAATTCCACAGTGTCGTGTAGGCCAACTTTCTTAAGAATAATAAATTGATTCATCACATTTACACAGGCTACAAACAGCTTAAAATTTGTTGAGAGAGGACAAGCCCGTCAGGTAGTACCGACAGCGGCTTCACGGGGGTAAGACGGGTAAAGCTTGTCTGGCATCGAGGAAAAACTGAATTATCCAATGGCGGCCAAGGAAAATTATCTAGACAAAAATTGTTGACATTTTTGCTCAAAACAGAAGACCCTTTAGCCCTGGATAAAATATCATATAAAAATATTTATCAATAAAAAAAGTTTTTTGTAAAAATTTAAATTTTCAAAATTTGGCTATTGTTAATATTTTTTTAACAAACGACAACTTCGGTCATTTCGGACATTTCGCATTGTCACAAAACGCCCGAAATAGCTTTAATCTCTAAGTCACACCCACTTTCCGAATAAAATCAAAGACATCGTATCAATCGACATGTAGTTTCTGAGATACAATCAAATTGGAAAGAAAAAAATAAAATAATAATAATAAGAAGAAAAATCTTAACAAAAACTATAGTGTTTCACAAAAACTATGCAGTGTGAAACCCTAATACAAGTTCTATGTTTTTATTTAGATCTACTCCCATGTCTCATTATGTTTTGAGAAAAAATATCCTTGAATTAAGCAGATTTAAAGGGCCAATCATGATAATATTTTGGAGAATAAAACTGCTTAATTTTGTGTTAAAACCCCTTAAAATCCTGTACCTAAGGGCCAAGCAACTAATTCAATATTTGCGATAAGTTTTCAAACAACTTACACCCGTCATTCTTCATCTGGAAATGGAGACCAGACTTTTATTTTATAAAAACAATGTGTAGGTGAAATTTACCTTTCGTTATCCAGTACGGCACATGGGTCATTCACTGTATAGACCTCTAAAGTAACAGAGATAGATTATCAGGTCACCCAACGAAAAAATTGACCAGAAATCTTAAAAGGGTTACGTGTCCGGATAAGCATTTTTGACGTTCACGTCCAAACAACTCAATATTTTGAGCTGAAATTTTGAGACAAGGTAAATACACCATTCCTCTACATTTTGGCGCTTAATTTATATATAAATTTCATACTAACTCGGATTTTTATTTTTGAGACTGTTCAAATCGGGATAGTCCATTTAACTCGGTCCACCAATGGGCCTAACCCAAAATAAAACTTTTTCGGAATTCAAAACGTATTAAATGTAGTTTACTATTAAAATACATGAAATACTTAAATTTTGTGATATTATGCACTTCCAAATCACCAAATATTCGAAAAAAAAACCTACCAAAACATTATTGACTGCCATTCACCACCATTGACATTTGCCCTCCTATAGCCGCCATTTTGTTTCTCCTGAGCAAGACCATTCTATTAATAGACTTGTATAGGCTGAGCGCTATTTTGTGTTTATAGTATAAATCTATGGATATACCATAGTTTTACACTATTTGCATACGAGGGGCGGCCATTTTGTACGGCAGTTTTAGACTGATTCTCACGAAATTCAAACTCAACCATCATTAGTGTGTAACAGTGATATATTCACACGCTTTTTTAAATATGATAAAAATTGTGACCTCTAAAGGGACAAGCTAAAAACAAAATTTTTCGTTCAAACAAGGGCCATAATTCAGGAAGTTGATCCGATATGAGTGAATATGGAAAGGAACCAAGATCTTTGGGTAATAAATATGTATTTCAAGATTCATCAAAATCTATGAAAATTTTGGCCTTTAGAGGGTCCACAACCTTGATATACCATATATTTACACTATTTGCGTATGAGGGGCGGCCATTTTGTCCGGCAATTTTGGTCCGATTTTCACGAAATTTGAACTCAGCCATTATGACCTCTAGAGGGATCCAATATGCGCGTATATTGAAAGGATCCAAGACCTTTGGGTTATAAACATGTATTTCAAGTTTCATCAAAATCGGATCAAAATTGTTACCTAGAGAGGGTCCACAACCTTGATATACCGGTACCAGATGATTAAACTATTTGCGTCTGCCAGTTTTGGTCCAATTATCACGAAATTTGAACTCATCCTACAGTATGGTGTAACGATGATAGATTCAAGCATTTATTTACATCGATAAGTATGGTGTAACGATGATAGATTCAAGCGTTTATTTACATCGGATAATAATTGTGACCTCTAGAGGGACCACAAGCTAAAAACGTGATTTTTCGTACAATCAAGGGCCATAATTCAGGAAGTTACGATCCGATATGCGCGAATATTAAAAGGAACCAAGAACATTGGGTTATAAACATGAATTTCAAGTTTCATCAAAATCAGATGAAAATTGTGACCTCTAGAGTGTCCAAAAGCTAAAAACATGATTTTTTGTACAATCAGGGGCCATAATCCATGAAGTTATAGTCTGATATATGCCAATATCGAAAGGAACCGAGATCTTTGGGAGATAGACCTATATTTCAAGATTCGTCAAAATCGGATAAAAATTGTGAACTGTAGGTAGAGTGTCCACAAACAAATATGAACAGACGGACACACATCCTCGGTTACCCAGTGTACTCATTCCGTTCTACTCCACTATACCCTGGGTTAATCCATTGGGTTTCCACGATTGCATATTATCTGCCCTGGCCTAGAATGTAGTTACAGTCTACGAACCAATCAAAAAACAGTTTACGAACCAATCGTTTCACCTTCGTTTTTATAAGGGTAGATAACCATATTCATGTCCATTTACTGAATGATTTATTTAAATAATGCATATGTTTATAATTTATTTATATTTAATTGTATTATCAAAATCTGTAATATGTGTTGTTGACTTCAAATATGTATAACATCTATATGTTTGACTTTTGTTATTATTATTACTATTCGTTCTTTGTCTGAAATATGTCACTCTATTATGTTTATCATTATTGAACTTATACTTGGCAATGTAATTCACAATAACTTGTCTACGATATCACGCGGATATAAAATTCTGGGAACGAACGAACGATTTAAATAAAACTAATGACCCTACATTACTATATGAACGTCTGGTCTTCAATAACATAATATATAATTGGTTGCTAATAATTACGCATTTCGAATAGGTCAACTCCTAACATTGTCCAATGAGAGTTACTTCCCTTTGCCAACTTCCTTTTTAAATAACAATTTATAGGATTGGTCGATAAAAATAGCACAATCATCAAGGGTGGATAACTTGAAAACGTGTATCCCCCATAGACTAACCCAAGGTATAGTGGAGTAGAACGGAATGAGTGCACTGGGTAATCGAGGATGGCAGACACACAGACAAACAAGGGCAATGACACATGCACATGAAAATGTGGGCATATAAAAATATAAATCCCAGAAATTCCTATGTAGTAAAAGGCACAACAACTTTAACAACTGTGTGTACAAAGTTCCAAAAAGATATCTTGAACGGTTTATGAGATATGCTTCGGAAATGAAATTGGGAGGGACAGGCTGAGCCCATTTCAATATTCCTCCCTAACTTTGTTCGGCGCGGAATAATAATAGCAATGCAGTGTTTTATACTTCAAATAAAGGGTATTACATGTGATTGCACGTGTCATCTCCTGTCCGCAATTCCACGAGACTGATTTTCAATTTTTTCCAATCCCAGTAGAGCTTTTTTCAGCTCTCCATGATTTTTTAGATGTGAAGGCCTGACAGTTTCTGTTTCAAGTAGTGAAAATTCAAAGGTAAATATCTGATTTAATCCTGTTTTCACACATATCATAATTAATCGAATTATAAGGTTCTGGATGGAAATGTTTTTAAAGCCATATAGAGGAAGACATAAGGTTTGTTAAACATAATAAATTGTCCATACCTGTCTTCAATCCTCTTGGTACTATCAACATTATCAGAGTTCATACGTATTTTATATCTAATGTGGGTAGATTTTTCATCTATATCATCAAATACAAGAGCTGAAAATAAACCATCATGTATAATATATTTAAAAATACGATTCTTAGAAAAATATTTCGCTTAAAATGTTTTATTTTTTAAATGGTGAACAATAAAACAAGACAAGCTAAAAGTGAGGCTGATGTCCCCCACCTCAATCCACTCATTAATTACTTTCACGTTCATTTTTTTAATATAGTCTGGAGACGCAGCGCGAGGGGGTGTCCATCAAATGGGCACCAGACCCAACTTTTCTAGAGTAACATTTTGCGTAGAATACGATGCCAAGTGGTAATCAGGCCACCGTTGGGGCGTTTTCGAGATATTCGGGGTCAAAGGTCAAATGAGTTCATTTGCACTGAAAGTGAATGTGCAGTCATTCTTGTATCATGAAAAGAAGCTGAAAATGATCGAAAGTAATCACACTTTCAATAAAAATGTAAACTTGCTAAATTCACCTTTAGTCTTAGTGACCCTGGAGGTCAAAAGGTGAAATTTACCGTCTTTGCACTAGGAAGATTTAAAGCAATAAAATGGCAACGTAAAATATAAAGATAGGTTGCCAGGCAACGAAACATACGCCCACAGCAGCTAAATCGTCCGGGGAGTCAACAAGAGTTGTCGCATATTTTTACTTTTTTCGGTAATTAAACATTTATAATACATTAAAATCTGATAAAGAGTAACAACTAATTAAGTAATTATCAGAAAACCATTAGAATTTGTTTGGTTTTTATAAAGTTCTGCCCCATGCTAATGTTTAGTATAGAAAACTTTTAACATCATGTGACTCTCCGTAGTATTCCAAAACATCAACATATAAAATTGCTTATCACTGCTGAGCCTCCGCATCATTGAGCTCAGTCAAGGCATTTACCTAATGAATATCTACACCAAGTTTAAACATTCCACCACTGTCTTCCAAAAGGTCTGACAGACAGAAGGACAGGGAAAATTAATTTAACCATCTATACATTGTGCATAATAAAATAAAATGGAGTTTCAATTCCCAGTATCTATAACTGAATTGTTAGTATATTTTCAGTAGCAATACGGTTAAATCTATGAAATATTTTGACATGGGAGCTGAGTTACAATAATGTGAATTGTTCTAGGTATTTATTAGGGGATATTAAAATAGAATGAATGAATGAAATGTTGTTTTATGGCATGTCAGCTCCAACTGGGCTATATTGGGCCAAACATATGATGATTATTTTGAGGCAGGCTAAATTAAAGATAGGTTGCCAGGCAACGAAACATACGCCCACAGCAAGTAAATCGTCCGGGCAGTCAACAAGGGTTGTCGCATATTTTTACTTTTTTCGGTAATGAAACATTTATAATACACTAAAATCTGATTAAGAGCAACAACTCACGAAGTAATTATCAGAAAACTATTAGAATTTGTTTGGTTTTTATAAAGTTCTGCCCCATGCTAACGTTTTGTATGCACAGCTTTTAATATCATGGATTTAACTGTTTAAGTCATAAAAATTCATTGAAAATCAATATACTTGTTCGTCTCAAGACCTTAAACTCTGTGTATCAATCTGAAGTCAATCGGATGATAACTTTAGCCTCTAGAGCGTCAGAAGATTTTTCAAAGTGATCAAGGGCCATAACTCTGGCAGTACTTATCAGAAATCGCTGAAAATCAATAGGCTTCTTCGTCTCATGACATTAAACACTGTGTATAAATTTAAAGTCAATCGGATATTAACTTTAGCCTCTAGAGCGTCCACAAGATTTTTCAAAGTGATCAAGGGCCATAACTCTGGCAGAACTTATCAGAAATCGCCGAAAATCAATAGGCTTCTTCGTCTCATGACATTAAACACTGTGTATAAATTTAAAGTCAATCGGATATTAACTTTAGCCTCTAGAGTGTCCACAAGATTTTTCAAAGGGATCAAGGACCATAACTCTGGCAGTAATTATCGGAAATCGCTAAAAATCAATACGCTTCTTCGTCTCATGACATTAAACACTGTGTATAAATTTAAAGTTTTTACGTATTTTTGAAACTGGCTCCGAAGCGTTTTGGTTCTGTTATGCAAGATCATTTTCGACGTTCCAAAGTAAAAGTTTGGTGCTAAGACCACCTAAAGATACATTTCAAATGTTCCTATTATTAATTAGAACAGGTTTCGCTTTAGTTTTTATATTTTCTGCCGACATTTACTACTTTAAATCTTCCTAATGCTGAAACGGAAAGTGTGACCTTTTGACCTCTGGGGTCACAAAGAACAAAGGTGAATTTAGCAAGTTTACATTTTTATTGAAAATGTGATTACTTTCGATCATTTTCAGCTTATTTTCATGATACAAGAATGACCGCGCATTCACTTTCAGTGCAAATGAACTCATTTGACCTTTGACCCAGAATATCTTGAAAACGCCCCAACGGCGGACTGATTACCACTCGGCATCGTATTCTACGCAAAATTTTACTCTAGAAAAGTTGGGGCTGGTTTTGTGCCCATTTGATGGACACCCCCCCGCGCTGAGCCTCCGGTCTAATAAAGAATCGATCCAACTCATTGCTTATCACTGCTTAATCTCAGCAGAAAATACTTGTTATATTGAAGTCATGGTACTGATGTAATCTGTCACTCGCACTTAACTAGAATCTGAAGTTATCGTATTCCAAACCGAAATGAAATGGGGTTGAAAATCCTACTTTTCTGCACTGATTGGGCTTAATGAAGATGGGAATATGCCATGCAGTGAGCTACGCGGAAAAGTTTGACCCAGACAGCAGAGCTACAGCCTACCCTTGTATCGAATTCCAGCTGCCAGGGGTTCTTTTATGTGCAAGCCAATGTATATACTACAAGACTTTGTTTTATTGTCCCACCAAAACAACTAGACAGCTTGCATTCCTGACAAGGTGAAACCACGCCGGCAAATCTTGATGAATTATCTTGGCCAACACTGGGAGCAACCCCGAGACCTCCAGGCTAGTGAGCCTGCGTCTTACTCACTGAACAACTGTGACTCTCCGTAGTATTCCAAAACATCAACATATAAAATTGCTTATCACTGCTGAGCCTCCGCATCATTGAGCTCAGTCAAGGCATTTACCTAATGAATATCTACACCAAGTTTAAACATTCCACCACTGTCTTCCAAAAGGTCTGACAGACAGAAGGACAGGGAAAATTAATTTAACCATCTATACATTGTGCATAATAAAATAAAATGGAGTTTCAATTCCCAGTATCTATAACTGAATTGTTAGTATATTTTCAGTAGCAATACGGTTAAATCTATGAAATATTTTGACATGGGAGCTGAGTTACAATAATGTGAATTGTTCTAGGTATTTATTAGGGGATATTAAAATAGAATGAATGAATGAAATGTTGTTTTATGGCATGTCAGCTCCAACTGGGCTATATTGGGCCAAACATATGATGATTATTTTGAGGCAGGCTAAATTAAAGATAGGTTGCCAGGCAACGAAACATACGCCCACAGCAAGTAAATCGTCCGGGCAGTCAACAAGGGTTGTCGCATATTTTTACTTTTTTCGGTAATGAAACATTTATAATACACTAAAATCTGATTAAGAGCAACAACTCACGAAGTAATTATCAGAAAACTATTAGAATTTGTTTGGTTTTTATAAAGTTCTGCCCCATGCTAACGTTTTGTATGCACAGCTTTTAATATCATGGATTTAACTGTTTAAGTCATAAAAATTCATTGAAAATCAATATACTTGTTCGTCTCAAGATCTTAAACTCTGTGTATCAATCTGAAGTCAATCGGATTATAACTTTAGCCTTTAGAGCATCACAAGATTTTGCAAAGTGATCAAGGGCCATAACTTTGGCAGTAATTATCGGAAATCGTTGAAAATCAATAGGAATCTTCGTCTCATGACCTCAAACACTGTGTATAAATTTAAACTCAATCGGATATTAACTTTAGCCTCTAGAGCATCCACAAGATTCTTTCAAGGGCCATAACTCTGGCAGTAATTATCGGAAATCGCTGAAAATCAATAGGCTTCTTCGTCTCATGACCTTAAACACTGTGTATAAATTGATAGTATCGGATATTAAATTTGGCCTATAGAGCATCCACAAGATTTTTCAAAGTGATCAAGGGCCATAACTCTGGCAGAAAATATTGGAAATCGCTGAAAATCAATAGGCTTCTTCGTCTAATGACCTTAAACACTGTTTATAAATTTAAGGTCAATTGGATATTAACTTTGGCCTCTAGGGCGTCCACAAGATTTTTCAAAGTGATCAAGGGCCATAACTCTGGCAGTAATTATCGGAAATCACTGAAAATCAATAGGCTTCTTCGTCTCAAGACCTTAAACACTGTGTATAAATTTAAAGTCAATCAGATATTAACTTTAGCCTCTAGAGCGTCCACAAGCAATTGTGGACGCCGGACCGCCGGACGGACGGACGGACGGAGGCGACGACAATATACGACCACATTTCAATGTGGGCGTATAAAAATGATATATATATATTAATAATTGAACTTGATTAAAATTTGGTTTTAAACCATGACAATTCCATTGAATGATGGAATTGAACATTGTCAGGGAAATTTAATTTTTGGCAGCTTACTGAGTGGGTTCACATTGACATCCACTACAGTAATACCGTCGTCCATCATATCATCCCCATATTTATTAAAGAGAGTGATGGGTTTTTTTTTTAACCCTTTGTATCTTTCTCTCGAAATTTTAAAAAATTTTGATGTTTTTTTTAATGCATTATTTTCTCCTTTGCGGACGGAGTAGTCTTAAACTGCACCCCTGACCCAGTGGAACTAGAATCAGCAGTGTCTTCTTTAGAGGAGCGCAAGGGAGGAGCCCCCATGCCAATTTGGATTGGTGTATTGGGAAAAGTCTCAATAACTCCAGATGGGGGCAAGGAGGATACAACATCATCAGATAATGAAGTAGTGCTTTGAGTCGAGCTCTCAGCGGAGCTCGAGACCCCTTTTACATGATCTGATGTAGGCAAAGTCTTTGGTTTTTTCTGCTTATATGGCCAGGTTATGTCTGTCTGAACAGATATGGATTTTGTAGAAAACTTTAACTACACTCGAAAATGATTTCCCTTGTGGTGCAATGGGAATAAGTGAAGTAAGTTCTACTTGCTTCCTAGCATCAAAATATGGAATCTTCCGTTCAGACATAACCTGTTGAATTCTTTCCTCTTTCTGCCATATTGGACATTCGCGAGAATAAGCAAAATGCTTACCCTTGCAATTCACGTAGCAAAACTCAGCCTTGCAGGCAGCGCTCGTGGCCATGATGACCACAATGAGCACAGGTGTCTTTGCCCATGCAGACGTCCTTACTATGTCGAAATTTCAGACATTTATAGCAGTGAAGAGGGTTGGAAATACAAGAATGAACAGGTATATTTAAATAACCTGCCTTGATTGACTTCGGTATGTCAGGACGATTAAAAGTGAGGATATAGGAGCTTGTAGGAATCACCTTATCTCCTTGGCGTACACTAATTTGTTGGACGCCTTGAGAAGAAAGGTATTCAACCATTTCATCCACACTGCTGCCGTCAATGTCTCAACATCGAATAACACCTCTACTAGAATTTAATGATCTGTGTGGAGACACCTTGATAGGAATGATGTCTGCCAAAGTTGTTGATTTGAGAAGCATGGTAGCATGCTGCTCCTTGACACATTCTATCAAGAGTATTCCATTTTTCAATAGCTTTGGGCTCACTGGCCAAGCCCGCAATGCCCTTAGCTATCAAAAAAACGTGAGACTTTAGATAAGTCAGTAGAGGGGCTCTCAATCAAGAGAAACCTTGACCATGACTTTGCCATTTTATTTTTAAATATGTTAGAAACGTCCTGCGAATTGGGACTTTTCTGTTTTTGTCGTTCATTGATTTGGGTGGGGGGGGGATTGGGGTATCCATGAAAACATTTTGCTTATTTCACCCCTCACCGTCCCCCAGGTTACTGCCCTGCCTAATAGGGTTCACAAACCAAAAGGGTTCACAAACCAAATCCACACTCGATTACCAGGATTCCATTATCCATCCAACACGGGTCGCAACACAGCAAAAACGCCCCATTACAGGGATTCTTTTAGTCACCTCATACAACATGCAGGAAATAAGAAGGGTATATTCTTATCACCCCCTACACACCAGGGGGTATTGAAATAGACATACACATAGTAAATAGATCATCATTAGACTATTACCTATATATAAATCCATCATTATCTATCTTACCTGCTAACAATGTGTTATTTGCTGTAAATTCAACTGAGTCATCCTCTAATGCTGATTCATCTTTATAAGGTACAAATTTATTCAAACGGAAACACTGTAAAAAAAATATGATATAGATATATAACAATTATTGATGAAACTGTGACAATTTATGGGTATGGTAGCTAGCAGCTATATGAATATATATAAACTAATTTACATTCAATCGTTTCCATTTTTGTTCTAATTTCAAATCAGTTACGTTTAGCGAAATATGCCAGAAGTCTTAATCAAATAGAGTTTTGTTATTCTAGTCTACACCAATAATATTTATTGTACATGCTCTCCAGATAACAATATGTCGTCACTGTTTGACATGACTCGTGGAATATGTCAAGCCTCGTTCTTCGAGTCCCTTGTTACAAATGACGCTGAAATGCATTATGGTACACAATTTGTGTAGCAATAGTAAAATGTTTATTTTGTCTTAAATATTGGATATCAGAAGCCCATCTTTTCACAGTAAGATCACAACATCAGTCTTGATTTAAATTGACAAATAATTTTTGTTTTCAATGTCGAAGACTTTGGATGATAATGAGTTAGAGACTTAGCTACTTTAAACTGTTTTTAAAATCAGGAAAAAAAAATTGTGACCTCTAGATAATCCACAAGCTAAAAATGCGATTTTTTGAAAAATCAGGGGCCATAACCTAGGAAGTTACTTTCGGATATGCTCGATTATCAACAGGAACCAAGATCTTTGTGATTTAAACATAAATTTATAGTTTCATCAAATTTGGATAAAAATTATGGCCTCTACAGGATCCACAACCTTGATATATCATATTTTTTACACTATTTGCATACCAGGGGCAGCCATTTTGTCTGACAGTTTTAGTCCAATTTTCACGAAATTCGAACTCAATCATGATTAGTTATTTTTTAAATCGGATAAAAATTGTTACCTCTAGAGTGTCCCCAAGCTAAAGATTGATTGTTCGCACAATCAGGGACCATAATCCATGAAGTTATGGTCCGATACATGCCAATATCGAGAGGAACCGAGATCTTTGGCAGATAGACCTATATTTCAAGTTTTGTCAAAATCGGATAAAAATTGTGACCTGTAGAGTGTCCACAAACAAATTGTGGACGGACGAACGTCTGTACGTCTGGACAGACGGAGGGGATAATACGTCCACATGAAAATATTATTATTCAAACCCTATTGTTTTTAAAATAATTAATCTTCTGTGTCTATTGCTTTGTACTATTTATATATATATATATATATATATATATATAGATGTTGTAAATATCTTTGTTTTCCCGGATTGGTCTGTTACTCAAGGGCAATAGAAACTTGAAACTTGACCACATGCTAGTCATTGTTCATTAACTGGGTAGTGTGTACATGACCACATGTGTTAGTAACTGAGTAGTAAGTAAATGACCTTGTGTATTAGTTATTGTTAATTAACTATGTAATATGTATGTGATCATGTGTATTAGTAATTGTTAATTAACTCACTGAGTAATATGTATGTGACCATGTATGTTAGTAATTGTTAAACATGCATTATGCAAGAGCTAAATCTGCCTATTTCAGGTCTTTCTTTAGGCCTGAAATGTTATCTAAATTATTAATTAGACATTAATTAACCTATCCAGGCCATAATGAACTCTAGATGGCAGCGCTAGCCTGCGATCTTTAGTGGATTGTAAGCCGATTTACTGCATAACTTTCCTTCTCTATTAAACGATTAAATGGATAATCGAGACTATGCTGTTTATCGTACTGACTTTAGTAATGATGACCGAGGCTTATGGGAATTTCAGTCGCTTAGTTCTCGGTTCATAGTGGATCAATTTGAATGAAATTTTCACCAAATAGCCTTTACATTATCTAGTTTTTAACTATTATAGTGAGAACTGCCAACTCGTTACCGAATCTCCCATAATGTATCTTTAATTATCTGGGTAGTGTGTACCTGTCCATATAGTACTATTTAAGATAGTACCTGATGAATACAGCAAGCAAAGCCAAACTAGGGAGAAAATTGGTGTTCAATTGTGGTGTAGTGAAACTGGATGCTTAATGGAGTTAAATTTGATTTTAAAAAAATGTTGTGGGGGCGGCTTACAGTGCAAAGTCCTCGAATACGAGAGAGAGAGAGAGAGAGAGAGAGAGAGAGAGAGGGGGAGGTTTAAGTCCACTCGACACAAACTAAGTCATTTCGGGACTAATATATGGTTCAATTTTATTCCAATAATTCGCTTGCTCGTAGGGGTGAAACCAGAGGACCCAGAGAAAACCCACGAAGGTTGGGCAGGCGACCCTACTCCTTGTCACGTACAACTGAGGAATCAAAATCACACCAGTTGACTCAATGACAGACCTTATGGTACAGCGCGCACACCACATCACACCACACCCCCCTCGAATACAAGTAATGCTTGGAACAGTATTGACAGTAGTAGATAATTACCTGCATGTATTGTTTTATCCCTTTCATCAATTCATCTGTATTATTTAATGCATCTCTCCAATCATAAGCACTATTATCAGCATCATTAGAAACAAATTGACCAATTCTAGCACATGAACCCTTTGGTATTCTATTCTGGCCCATTAAGTTAGCTAAAAGGCCTTCAAAGAAACGAAATGAGGTAGGCGGGAAACTTCCTTCTTCAAACCCCTTACACAAACTCGAGTTGAAAAACCACTGTGAAACAAAACAGTACAAATTGTATGGATTAGTCAGAAAGAATCTCAAACAATATCAGTAATTTGATTTCAATTTACTTGAACCACTGGGATAAAGGGAAGACCTAGACCAAACATTTACAAAACACAAGACAAGATGGAATGTATTCAAGACAATATTATACAGTCAACACATAAAACTTTGAATTAAAGTAAATGTATATTCCTGTCTTGTACTTACTCTCAAACCATTTATATCATTATTAAGAAAACGATAAAGGCTTGGTGAAAAGCCAGCCCAATCATCAGCCAAGTTTATCAGCAATGAAACGTCAAGGAAGGTTCGATTTGCCTGAAAAATACAATTCATTGTGTGAACTTTTAGCAATCAACAACTACACTGGTAACTTCTAATAATCATGATATTATAATAATAGTACACAGTTAATTTATAACAACTATACTTTCAACTTGTAAAGATTTGGTTAAGCATGTTTTACTCATTGAGCCACTGCAACTCTACCTTGATTAAACAGCCGGTCTGGCCAATCAAAACAGGGTCTGGGTATGCTCACAGTGTTGGCCAAGAAAGTTAACCAGGATTTTCTGGCCTGTTTTGGAGGACCTGGACAAAATCCACAAGGTTGAGCTGGTGACCCTACTCCTTGTCACGTACAAGCTTGGGATAGAAACCATGCCACTTGACTCAATTACAGATCATACGATCTAAGCACAAGCTAGATTACTCTTTCTCATCAACCCTCACTGCAGATAATGTCAACATCCAACACATTATTTAATTCTGTGAGGAATCAGACTCTTTACTATATGTTCAGTTAACTTGACTTACTAATTTGATGATTTCTCGTACACGTGGAGTATCAGGGGAGTATGGAATTACTCCTAAAATAAATGGCTTCAGAAACTTCCAAACTGGATTGCTTTCAAATGACATGTACAAATTTCTACAAAATGGTGCTGGAAAAAAAAACATTTTTTAAAAACTGAAGTTCCATCATTACCAAAATCTGAGTAATTGATAATCCCTGTAATTACGTTTTCAATTAAAGAGACATTATCATTTTATAGGTCTTGGTTGATTGGTAAAAATAATACTTTATTTGACCTGATTTCACTATAAAGTTGCACCTTGCATTTTCAAATTAGAGAAAAACTAGCGGTTGCCAGGCAAGATACGCCCACAGTTTGCAAGAGATGGATAGAGAATGAGCTAAAAAAAAGAAAAAAAAAGCAATTTTTCATACAATCACTGAGATATTTGGGACATAAAGATATATTTTAAGTTTCATCAAAATTGGATAAAAATTGTGACTTCGAGAGAGTCCACAAACTTGGCATTACATACTTTTACAATATTTGCGTACAAGGGACGGCCATTTTGTTCATCAAATTTGGTCCGATTTTCACGAAATTCGAACTCAACCATCATTAGGGTATAAAGGTGATGTATTCAAATGTTGTTTTCTTTTTTTTTAAATCAGATAAAAATTGTGACCTCTAGAGGAACCAAAAACTAAAAACGGGATTTTTTCGAACAATCAAGGACCATAATTCAGGAAGTTACCATCCGATATGTGCAAATAAATATCAAAAGGAACCAAGATCTTTGGTTATAACCATGCATTTCAAGTTGCATCAAACTCAGATAAAAATTGTGACCTCTAGAGTGTCCACAAGCTAAAAATGTTGATTTTTCGTAGAATCAGGGGACATAATGCATTAAGTTTCGATCCGATACATGCCAGTATCGAAAGGAACCAAGATCTTTTGGAGATAAACCTATATTTCAAGTTTCGTCAAAATCAGATAAGAATTGTGACCTGTAGAGTGTCCTCAAAAAAATTGTGGACCGACAGATAGACGGACGGATGGACGGACGGACAGGGGCGATGACAATATACGTCCACAAGAAAATGTGGGCGTATAAAAATTCAATCATCAATTCATTTCTATTTACAAATTTTTTAGTGATTTTAAAGGAGTTTAATAATTCTGGGTGCAAAATACTTCATGGTAATTTTAGTAATTACAAGAGACTATGCATATTTTGAATATGCTATTATTCAAAAATATTTTTGTTATTTGGTGGAAGTTATACTGCCTCTTTTAAAATTTTGATAATCATAACAGGTGATCATATTCGGGTGTAAAATAACTAAAGATATTGACATTAACTTGACTGGTTGCATGTTACTGATCGTTTCTTTTGCATATTAACTTCTTGTTTTTACAGTCAATTATAAAATTATGTGCTAATAAAAAAAATAACTAAACTTAACTTACTTGAATCTTTGTATTCTCTTTCTGACTTAGCTTTTTCTTCAGGTTCAAGTGGTTTCGTATTAAGTAGTGGGGATGATGAGTTTCTATTCCCATTCCCACCACCACTAGAAAAATTAAAACTTTTTCTACCACAAAGCAAAAGACCAATATTCTCAGACATAGATGTATTTGTATTGTTACCAGATCTTAAATCCGTCTGTATTCGTTGTACATCATCTAAGATAAACTGAAAACTCTCTAGATTTGTAATCTGAAAACAATCAGTAAAATAATAATTATAAAAGTAAGATAGACAAAAGTGATCAGTGCTAGCTCTAAAATCATGGTAACACAAATCTTGCAGAGTAAGTTGGTTTTGAAAAATCCAATATGAACTGTCTCTGCAAGTTTTAAAAGTAAATATGTGAACAAAAGATACCACCTTGAAATTTAAGTTTGCCGAAATTTGAATAAGATAGGTTGCCAGGCAACAAAACATACGCCCACAGCAGCTAAATCGTCCAAGCAGTGGACAAGGGTTGTCACATATTTATTCTTTTGTAGGTAATTAGGGGAATTTAATAGACAATTTCATACAGATGACATTATAATTTCCGTTGTTTGAAGGTTCACAAGGTTCTAAAATCTAAAACAAGGACCATAACTCTGGAAGCAATCTACAGAAATTGTTCAAATTCGACAGGCTTTTTTCGATTTAATAATTCAAATAATGCATATGAATTTCATACAGATCGGATGATAACTTTTGTTGTTCGAAAGTTCACAAAGTTCAACAAAGTAAATCAAGGGCCATAACTCTAGACGTAATTGATGGAAATTGCTGACATTCAATAACTGTTGTCATTAGAGCGTTCACAATATTCAACAAAGTGAAACAAGGGCCATAACTCTAGGCTTCTTTGTTTTACTAATTTAAATGATGCATATAAATTTCATACAAATCGTTTGATAACTTTTGTCATTAGAGTGTTCACAAGGTGCAACAAAGTAAAACAAGGGCCATTACTCCAGAAGAAATTAACGGAAATTGCTGAAATTCAATAGGCTTCTTCATTTCACTAATTTAAATGATGCATATAAATTTCATACAGATCGGTTGATAACTTTTGTCGTTAGAGCGTTTACAAGGTGCAACAAAGTGAAACAAGGGCCATAACTCCAGAAGAAATTAACGGAAATTGCTGAAATTCAATAGGCTTCTTCATTGCACTAATTTAAATGATGCATATCAATTTCATACAGATCGGTTGATAACTTTTGTCATTAGAGCGTTCACAACATTCAAGAAAGTGAAACAAGGGCCATAACTCTAGATGTAATTAACGGAAATTGCTAAAATTCAATAGGATTCTTTGTTTTACTAATTTAAATGATGCATATAAATTTCATACAGATAGGTTGATAACTTTTGTCGTTAAGAGCGTTCACAAGGTGCAACAAAGTGAAACAAGGGCCATAACTCCAGAAGAAATTAACAGAAGTTATTGAAATTAAATAGGCTTCTTCATCTCATTAATGCAAACAACATATATCAATTTCAAAACAATCGGTTGATAAATGTAGTCTGTAGAGTGTTCACAAGAAATTGTGGACGACGGACAGACGGACCGACGGACGGACGGACGGGGGCGACAGCAATATACGACCACATTTCCATGTGGGCGTATAAAAATCACGGGGAATAAGCAATTCTGAACTGTCTTTTAACACATTTGAATAAAATCAGGGGGAATAAGCAATTCTGAACAATCTCTGCAAATTTGAACAGTTCTGTCTGACGTGTCGACAGTGTTAACAAGAAATTGTTCTCATGATATCAAATTTTTCAAAAAAAAAAAAAAATCAACAGGTGATTATTCTGAAAACACAGGAGATCATTTCATAACTTTCTGCTCTTCAAATAATTTGGCTTGCGACAAACTGGATATTACGTGCTGTGAGAATCCAATGGAATTGGCTGTATCAATAATTACAGTATGGTTAACCTGACATATTCTCTTACTGTTATAAGAATTCATACCAAAAAAAAAGCTAGAAAAGGGACTATCTTTCTGAGGTTACAATCATCAGGCGCAAAAACACAAGCCTAGGACTGTACAGCCCAGTGGACACTTATGGCTGCCCCCGAATCAATTCACTCGATTTGATAAATATTTATTCTTGTTCATTATTTGAAATTTCTATTGTGTATCAGGTTTGACTTGTGAAATTGTTTATGTGTGGTGGGGTCCTCCTGCACCTACTAATAGAAATTAAAATGCAATTACCTTTAAGAGTCCAGACATTTTCATTTGAGAAAAACATGCTGTCTAAATATAACACCTATCTTTATTAGGGGGGATTGAAGGAAATGTCTAAAACAACAAAAATGTTCTACTAATCATACATACATCTTGACTTAATCTTTGAACTGTTTCTATTGTTGTTAAATCAAAATTTGGATCTTTACCAATATTTTGAGCATAGAAATTTTGTAACTAAAAATAAAAAAATAAAAATATAGTTCAAATTTATGGAAGATAGAATTTAAATGCAATGAAAATGCACTATTGATTTGACTGGGAGTGCTGGAAAGACAAAATGCAGCTGAAATGAGATTTTTGCCAGATGTGTCCAGCAGCCATACATGCCATACAACATGGTCACATAGGATAGAGGAGATAAACCTCTTGAATTATCCTCTGTGCTAAGGTGTTAACCTGGGCATTCCACAGAACTGTGTGATACTAACCTCAGCTTTTTAAAAGCCATATTCTCACATGTTATTTTCGTAATCGGATGTTGTTAGGCCCGCTTTTCCATGTACGCATTTCCGTGTGTTTTCAACAGCATAAAAGTCGGTCTAATGCAAGTGTAATGGAACCATTTCCATTTGATGAGCGACCTTTTTGCTGCCATTTTTTCTCGCGTGAAGTGCGCACATGCAGATGTTTACATTCTGGCATACAAACACGGGTTCTCTTCCAAAAAATTAATCAACCTCTCTTGTTTCTGCAAATTCAGCTTGCAAATGGCAGGTTCTTAGGACATGGTGTTAATATAAAAAGACGGCGACTGAAATATACAATGTTGGGCACAACCCTTTATCTGTACACATGGAAATACAAAAAATCGCATGCACAAATGCTATGTTTTTCGACTGGTGAAAACACGTACCTGGAAAGCGGGCCTTATATTGCAAATCTAAGTGTACAATCATACATTTATAAAAGTGGTGCCTTTTCATTGTGTCTCATATCAATTGATAAATCATAACAAATAACAGAAAATCTTACAATTTGTCATTAGAACACTAATATGATTCATTCAAAAAAAATTCTAGTGAGGATTGATTAGCCACAATAAATAATACTGTACTCTTCTACACGACAGCCACATTTTACATTCAGCACATGATCAAATGGTCAAATGAAATAATGATTTTTAAAAACTGAAATACTTATATTAAAAAAAATGAAATACTGATTTTAAAAAAATGAAATAATGATTTAAAAAGATAGGTTGCAGGGCAACAAAACATATGCCCACAGCAGCTAAATCGTCCGAGTGGTCGACAAGGGTTGACGCATATTTATTCTGTTGTAGGTAATTGTGGGCATTTACAAGACAATTTCATACAGATCAGATTATAATTTTTGTAGTTTGAGGGTTCACAAGGTTCTACAAACTATAACAAGGGCCTTAACTCTGGAAGTAATTTACAGAAAGTTTTGAAATTTGACAGGCTTTTTTCGTTTTACTAATTTAAAGGGACAATAACACTCTTGCTGGCTTGACAGCTCCAGAAAATAAATAATAGCCTTATTCTAAGTATTAGATGTTTATGTGTCCTACCTGTTGTGTACATTATCCATTACATCCTATTTTACTTGTCCAGAGGGTTCGAAAATATTTTTAAATCCAAGTCACATTTGAAAAGGTTTACGTTAGGCTTTTCAAATCATTTAGTTGAATTTTTCCAATTTTTTAAATTAGGTGTGTTAAGATGAAATTTGTAAAATAGTACAATTTGTTGACTAGAATAAAGATTGCGACATATTATTCAGTTACAACAAGAGTGGTATTGAGCCTTTAAATAATGCATATAAATTTCATACAGATCGGATGATAACTTTTGTCATTCAAACATTCACAAGGTTCACAAAGTAAAACAAGGGCCATAACTCTAGACATAATTGAAGGAAATTTAAAAGACCCCCCCACCCCTGTTTCACAAATTTAAATGATGCATATAAATTTCATACATATCGGATGATAACTTTCATCAATCGAGCATTAACAAGGTTGAACAAAGTGAAACAAGGGCCATAACTCTAGAAGTAATTATTATAAATTGCTGAAATTCAATAGGCTTTGTGGTTTCACTAATCTAAATGATGCATATAAATTTCCTACAGATCACATGATAACTTTTGGCGTTAGAGCGTTCACAAGATTCAACAAAGTGAAACAAGGGTCATAACTCTAGATGTAATAAACGGACAATATTGGTGCCAGTCATTATCACATATGTGATAGAACTGGTTAAACACCTTCCAAATATTATTTTATCACAGAGATCATTGCTACGATAGATGAATAATCAATGTTTCAACAATGACTGGTACCAATATTGTCCTTTAACAGAAATTGCTGAAATTCAATAGGCTTCTTTGTTTCACTAATTTAAATGATGCATATAAATTTCATACAAATCGGATAATAACTTTTGTCGTTAGAGCATTCACAAGGTACAACAAAGTGAAACAAGGGCCATAACTCACGGCGTAATTAACGGAAATTGCTGAAATTCAATAGGATTCTTCGTTTCACTAATTTAAATGATGCATATCAATTTCAAAACAGCTCTGATGATAACTGTTGTCATTAGAGCTTTCACAAGATTCAACAAAGTGAAACAAGGGTCATAACCCTAGATGTAATTAACGGAAACTGCTGAAATTCAATAGACTTCTTTGTTTTACTAATTTAAATGATGCATATAAATTTCATACAGATCACATGATCACTTTTGTCATTCAAACGTTCACAAGGTTCACAATCGTCATAACTCTAGAAATTATTGGCTGAAATTGCGGAAATTCAATAGACCTCTAGTTTCACAAATTTAAATGATGCATATAAATTTTATACATATCGGATGATAACTCTAGAAGTAATAAACGGAAATTGCTGAAATTCAATAGGATTCTTCTCTTGACTAATTTAAATGACACATGTAAATTTCATACAGATCGGCAGAGCATTAGAGCTTTCCCAAGGTGCAACAAGGGTCAACAAGGGTCATAACTCTAGAAATAATTGACGGAAATTGCTGAAATTCAATTGGATTCTTCTCTTGACTAATTTAAATGGCACATATCAATTTCATACAGATCGGCAGTTAACTTTAGAAGTTACAGCGTCCACAAAGTGCAACAAAGTGAAACAAGGGCCATAACTCTAGAAGTAATAAACGGAAATTGCTGAAATTCAATAGGATTCTTCTCTTGACTAATTTAAATGACACATGTAAATTTCATACAAATCGGCAGAGCGTTAGAGCGTTCCCATGGTGCAACAAAGTGAAACAAGGGCCATAACTCTAGAAGTAATTGGCGGAAATTCAATAGACTTCTTCGTTACACTAATTTAAATCATGCATATAAATTTCACAAAGATCGGGTGATAACTTTTGGCGTTAGAGCATTCACAAGGTTCAATAAAGTGAAACAAGGGCCATAACTCTAGACGTAATTAACGGAAATTGCTTAAATTCAATAGGCTTCTTCATTGCACTAATTTAAATCATGCATAAACATTTCACAACGATCGGGTGATAACTTTTGCCGTTAGAGCGTTCACAACATTCAACAAAGTGAAACAAGGGCCATAACTCTAGATGTAATTAACGGAAATTGCTGAAATTCAATAGGCTTCTTTGTTTTACTAATTTAAATATTGCATACTAGAAGAATGCCCGGCTTCGCTCGGGGGTCATAACCCCGAAACCGGAAGTGGTAGACTAACGCCACCTGGCCTATGTTACTCCCCGGTCCGAGCTACCCCTATACCCCAAATTACAGACTCGGGCAGACCTAGTGTAGCCGCCAACCCCGAACAGACAGACAAACGACAGTCACAAATATTAGTATAGATAAATTTCATAAAGATCGGATGTTAACTTTTGGCATAAGTGCGTTCACAAGGCTCAACAAAGTGAAACAAGGGCCATAACTCCAGACATAATAAACGGAAATTATTGAAATTAAATAGGCTTCTTCATCTCACTAATGTAAACAACATATATCAATTTTAAAAAAATTGGATGATAACTTTTGGAGTGTTCACAAGAAATTGTGGACGATGGCCGAACGGACGGGGGCGACGGCAATATACGTCCACATTTCAATGTATAAAAAGGGCCATAACTCACGGCGTAATTAACGGAAATTGCTGAAATTCAATAGGCTTTGTCGTTTCACTAATTTAGATGATGCATTTCAATTTCAAACAGATCGGATGATAACTGTTGTCATTAGAGCGTTCACAAGATTCAACAAAGTGAAACAAGGGCCATAACTCTAGATGTAATAAACGGAAATTGCTGAAATTCAACAGGCTTCTTTGTTTTATTAATTCAAATGATGCATATAAATTTTATACAGATCGGTTAATAACTTTTGTCGTTAGAGCATTCACAAGGTACAACAAAGTGAAACGAGGGCCATAACTCCAGAAGAAAGTAATGGAAGTTATTGAAATTAAATAGGCTTGTTCGTCTCACTAATGCAAACAACATATATCAATTTCAAAACAATCAGATGATAAATGTAGTCTGTAGAGTGTTCACAAGAAATTGTGGACGACAGACGGACCAATGGACGGACCGACAAACGGACAGACGGCAATATACGACCACATTTCCATGTGGGCGTATAAAAAATGAAATGATTTCAAATAAAATAATGATTTCAAATGAAATAATGATTTCAAATGAAATAATGATTTCAAATGAAATAATGATCTCAAATGAAATAATGATTTCAAATGAAATGCAATAATGATTCAATAATATGCAATAATGATTTCAATAATATGCAATAATGATTTCAATAAAATGAAATAATGACTTCAATAAAATGAAATAATGACTTCAATAAAATGAAATAATGATTGCAATGAAAAGAAAGAAAAAACCCCACATATTTTACCTCATTGTTAACATATGATGAATTATATTCTTCCATAAAATCATTATATAGTTCCTGAAACTGAACAGCGGTCAAATTACAAAGTTGTTCATCTAAAACATTAGCTGTGTTTGGATCACTGAAGTCAAACCATCGTGTGAGTAGCTTCTCTTGACAAATAGACTCACGTAATGCTGACTCGTTCAATCTTGCCACTGTATCAAAAAACCCAGTGGATAAGTTGTAATTTTTTATTATCTGGAAAAAGTGAACATTACATTTATACATAGCATATTGTGTTCAGAAGCCAATTGTTGACAGTCTGATCAAATGACCAACTGTGGTGTTAGAACTTTATTTACAGGACTGCAAAATATCCAGTCATAATATTTATGAACCTTTCTTTTTTCATTTGATAGTTGTATTTGTACAATGTAGCTGGTCATCCACATTCCTGCTTCTTTTTTAAAGGTATTGTGATTCAATAGTGTCCATCATCTAAATGTTAATTACTTGTGTATAACGGAAGTAGATTCTGTATTGTTTTTCCTGCCATTAGAGCAGTAATGTTTTCAATGTAAAGACAGGGAATGTGGCTGAACAGTGTTTACTGCAGCCCAAGATTGATTAAACTAAAATGTCAACAAAAATGGATTTATTCTTTTGCCAGGGAAGCGCATAAGCTAACTGGGCAGCCAGGTCTTGGCGAGTATCGCCTCAACGGTGTCGCTCGAGCCGATGAGACAGGATCACCCACAGTGAAATGTTAGCATATAAAAAAGTTAATAAACATATTTTCTAACCTTTTGAAAGGAGATTGATCCATTTAGCAATAGGTCTAAAGATTCTTCTGATAAATTGATGCTCTGATTGGCTATTTGCTCTCGTAATTTGTTAGGATTGACCAATAAATTTCCTAGCTTTATCTCACCTACAAAAAAAAAAATCATATTGACTACAAAATGAAAATACTTATGAGTCAATATCATACATGTAACATAATATATGCAGATGCAGTTTTATTCAACACTATAACGAAATTCAGTAAGTCAAGTAACAAATACTATTGCTGTTTACCTGTGAGTATAAATATACAGTAATCTATCACCTTGTCATACATTTTGGATATTACAATTTACATGATGATATTAGCAAATTTGAAAACAAATCCCAGTTAGAATTCATCAATTCTATAATTCTTCTAACAAAATATTTCATCTTCAAATTAAAATGAATAGGTAAAACACCGTCCAACGAACATTATATGGCTTACATAAGAAACAAGGTTGAACTTGTACTATCTGCAAATCCTAATTTGAGTTCAAAATGGCAGTATGATGTATTGTAACTCTGATTCCTTGATTAACCCTGGTACAGTGTATACTATATCATTTAAGCCTGTCAAATGTATCCTTATGTCAATGCATGTACCGGTACCTTTGTAAATTGATTTGATGTATTAATAAGCCAATAATGAATTTTGGCATTTAATGCACGCCATACATAGTCAACAGTACTTGTTTGGAAAATCTGATGGAGGATTACTAATCTATATATAAAACGTTCTTCCAAATCCCAAAATTTGAAGAATATTGTCTAACTAGAAGACATAAAACTAGTACACCAAAATCAAGACATAGAATAGTAGTTTCAAAACTTGTAAATGGCTACCCTGATTCAAAAGGCCATATATCAGGCATTATCAATGCTAGAGTCATAACTTTACGTTTTACATAAGTCTATATCCAGTATAACATATATCTTTTCATAATATTCTGAGTTGGTCACCCGCCAACTTTCTTAGAATTTGGTCCACTCTACATGGCTTAAAGCACAACCACTTTTATATATGATCACTTAAATTTATAATATGCTCTTTAATATTTAACATATTAAACATCTTTCACAAAAGCTCTGACAATTGGAGAAGGAGGGCACTGTCATCCCCAATCCACAGATTTCTCCTTCATTATTTCAAACATATCTGATATAACCCCTCATTCATTCAACCAGCGGCTGCCAGGCAGAATACGCCCACATTTAGAGATGGATAGAGAACAAGCTAACCAAATTCAGGAAGTTACAATCCGATATGTGCAAATATCGAAAGGAACCAAGATCTTTAGGTTATAAACTTACATTTCAAGTTTCATCAAAATCAGAAGAAAATTGTGACCTCTGGAGGGGCCACAACCTTGATATACCATATTTTTACGCTATTTGAGTACAAGGGATGGCTATTTTCTCCTGCAGTTTTGGTCCGATTTTCACGAAATTTGAACTCAACCATCCTTAGGGTGTAAAGGTGATATATTCAAACGTTTTTTTAAATCGGATAATAATTGTGACCTCAAGCTAAAAACGCAATTTTTCGTACAATCAGGGGCCATAATTCAGGAAGTTACAATCCGATATGCGCCAATATCGAAAGGAGCCAAGATCTTTGGGTTATAAACTTATATTTCAAGTTTCATCAAAATCAGAAGAAAATTGTGACCTCTGGAGAGGCCACAACATTCATATAACTTATTTTTACGCTATTTGAGTACGAGGGGCGGCAATTTTGTCTGTCAGTTTTGGTCTGATTTTTACGAAATTCAAATTCAACCGTCCTTAGGGTGTAACGGTGATATACTAAAACGTTTTTTTAGATCGGATAAAAATTATGACCTCTAAAGGGTCCACAAGCTAAAAACGCGATTTTTCGTACAATCAGGGGCCATAATTCAGGAAGTTACGATCCGATATGCGCGAATATCAAAAGGAACCGAGATCTTTGGGTTATAAACTTACATTTCAAGATTCAACAAAATCGAATAAAAATTGTGACCTCTATAGGGTCCACAAGCTAAAAACGTGATTTTTCATACAATCAGGGGCCATAATCCATGAAGTTTCGGTCCGATACTTGCCTATATCGAAAGCAGCCGAGATCTTTTGTAGATTAAACTATATTTCAAGTTTCGTCAAAATCGGATAAAAATTGTGACCTGTAGAGTGTCCACAAACAATATACGTCCACATGAAAATGTGGACGTATAAAAACTCAACTGTGATCAACTTTCATTATTATGCATTTGAAATTAAACAAATATAACAAGCCAACAATGAGGCTGATGTCCCCCGCCGAAATCCCAAAATAAATAGATGACACATATCAATTAATTGCACATTTATTTTTTCAAAAGTATCAAGCCATCAAACTAATTTTCATCACTCTCTATAAGATAGAATCAAAGTTATCTTATCCCAAAGCCTCGACCAATGAAATTGCTTAGCTCAGTTTAGCTTTAGCTCGAAATGTTAATCATTGAACTCAGTCAAGACATTCACCTAACATTAAGTTTAAACTTTCTACCTAATTTAAAAGCACACATGTTACTTTCCAAAGTCTTGACCTATCAAATTGCTTATCGCTCCTTAGCCTAAGCAGAAAATTCTCATAATCGAACTTAGTCAAGGTAATGATATAATGAATCTATACTCAGAGTTTCATTACTCTCACTTAATTACAGTGCACTCTGTCACATCCGACATCGTACGGGATCGTTACAATATGTCGGATACCCAGTTTTCCCAAAACCGAAAATATTGTAACTTCGAAAACCGGAAGTATTATTCTAATGTAGCTTCGAACATAGAACTTCCAATCACCAGAATGTTATTCCCTTTAAAAATTATAAACCTTTCTGTACATTCAAAATTTCATTACATTAATTTTATTTCATTTAACATGTGTAGGCATTTGAATAGGTCAAATCTGTCATTAATTTATCTTCTTCGCCTTCTTCAGTTGATCGCACTCTTGTCTTTGCTATCACGTGTTCATTGATAATGGGCGTACTCGATTGAACGTTCCGGAATCAAATTTTCTCAATCCCAAAAATAGTGACAATCGAGAGAAAATGTGTACTTCGGACTACAACGCATGCGTCGACTGGATATATAAATATCTCATCCAACCATGCAGCCGAAACCTGTTCGTCGTGTTTGATTACATCACAATTCTACTCTCACCACCTCCGTCGTTGGGTCTGACAGAACTGTGACAGGACTGAATTCCGAATCACTGGATTGCAATTCTGTCAATTCGGGACGTTCCGGACTGTGAATCGAGCATCCCCAGGTCGTCGTCACACGGTTCGAAGAGATCCGTAGGGTGACCAAACTTATAGGTTATTCAGGTTCAATCGGCATGCGCAACGAATGTTTCCAACAGGTGCTAGGAATATTTTTACGACTGTGAATTCGGGGGAAAATTTGTGGATATTCTGGAGTATTTGTCATAACTGTCGTACAAGAGATTAAAATTATCCAAGTAATCAACAAGGACCCATGGTAGTGAGTTTTAATCTCACAGATAATTGATTGGTAATTGTTTGTTAATCTTTTTTGGCTTCACAAACATCCAGTTTTAATCTCACAGATAACTTATCGGTAAGTGTTTGCTTCACACCCACCGATTGAAGGCCGGATTATACGATGTCCATTCAATGGAAATTTTACGACGGGACGGCTGATTGATGTCGTAATCCGGAACATACAGAGGTCGAATTACCCAGAGATTTTTTGGCTGAAGTAATAAGGAAATAAATCGGGACATGAAAATGGTGTCGGATGCAACAGAGTGTCGGAATGATCAGAGGTCGGATGTGACTGAGTGCACTGTATAACCAAAGTTATCGTGCCCCTAAGCATCAACCAATCAGACTGCTTATCTCTGCTTACAGTAAGCAGACAAAGTTTATCATCGAATTCCGTCAAGGCATTCACCTAATGTATGCCTACACCAAGTTTGAACATTCTACCTCAATTAGAAGGAGAGTTATTGTGTTCCAAAGTCTTGACCAATCAAATTGCTTATCACTCTGCTTACCCTGAACAGAAAATGCTCATTATCGAACTTAGTCAAGGTATTGATGTGATAAAACTATACACCAAGTGTCCTCACTCTCTCTGAATTAGAGCTAAAGTTATTGTGTCCCAAAGCATCAATCAATCAAATTGCTTATGCCTGCTTACCCTAAGCAGAAAATGCTCATCCTCGAACTCCATAAAGGCATTGACCTAATAAACACCTACACCAAGTTTGAACGTTGTAGCTCAATTAGAAGGAAAGTTATTGTGTCCCAAAAAGTGTGACAGACAGACGGACGAATGGTCCCCTGGACAATAACCACATTGGATAATATAAAACAATAATATTCACCTTGTGATGTTCCATTCATAATCTTATTATAAATTATTTGTAGATTTTCAAAATCTTCAATAATGTTAAAAATCTCTGTCCTCTGAGTATTATTAGCTAAAACCTTTTCTATATCACCTATAAGTATGCTTATTCTAAATAAAAACAATAAGTGAATGTATTAATTAAGGCTGCATTGATTTGCTGATAAAATGCTGTAATTTTTAAATCTAGTACACAATGCAGCCAATTTCCTTTTTTTATATTATCTTTATCTCTTAAAATTTTCAAATATAAAAAAAGAAATAAATCTAGAAAACAACCCAAAAATGAAAACCAGCGGCTGCCAGGAAGGATACACCAACATTTTGCAAGAGATGGATAGAGAACAAGCTAAAAACAAAAACGATTTTTTGTACCAGAAAGTTATGGTCTGAAATGCGCAAATATCAAATTCAAAAGGGAAGGAGATTTTTGGAATATAAAGATATGTTTTAAGTTTCATCAAAATCAGATAAAAATTGTGACCTCTAGAGGGTCCATAACCTTTGTATTACCATACATACTTATACACAATTTGCATACAAAGAGCGGCCATTAGAGCGGGCAGTTTCATTTCGATTTTAGCGAAATTTGAATTCAACCTTCATTATGGTGGAATGGTGATATATCTAAATGGTTTTTTAAAATCGGAAAAAAATTGTGGCCTCTAGGAATCCACAAGCTAAATATGCGATCTTTCAACCAATCAGGGGCCATTATCCAGGATGTTACGTTTGGATATGTGTGATTATCAAAAGGAACCAAGATCTTACGATAAAACCATATATTTAAAGTTTCATCCAAATTGAATAAAAACTGTTTCCTCTTGAGGGTCAACGACCTTGATTATTGATATACCATATTTATGGCGGCCATTACGTCCATCAGTTTTAGTCCGATTTTACAAAATTCGAATTCAACCATCATTAGTGTATAACTGTGACATATTCACATGTTTTTTTTAAATCAGATAAAAATTGTGACCACTATAGGGACAACAAGCTCAAAACGAGATTTTTCGTACAATCAAGGGCCATAAGTTACGATCAGAACCAAGATCTTTGGGTTATAAACATGCATTTCAAGTTTCATTAAAATCAGACCAAAATTGTGACCTCTGGGGGTCCACAACCTTGATATACCAGATGTTTACACTATTTGCGTACAAGGGGCCGCCACTTTGTCCGACAGTTTTGGTCCGATTTTCACGAAATTTGAACTCAACCATCATTGGGGTGTAACGATGATATACTATGTTTCTTTAAATCGGATAAAAATTGTGACCTCTAGAGGGACCACAAGCTAAAAACACCATTTTTCGTACAATCAGGGGCCATAATTCAGGAAGTTACGATCTGATGTGCGCTAATATCGAAAGGAACCAAGATCTTTGGGTTATAAACATGTATTTCAAGTTCCATGCTACAAGCTAAAAATGTGATTTTTTGTACAATCAGGGGCCATAATTCATGCTAGTACCGAAATGAACCGAGATCTTTGAGAGAAAGACCTATATTTGAAGTTTCGTCAAAATCGGATAAAAACTGTGACCTGTAGAGTGTCCACAAACAAATTGTGGACGGATGTCCGAACGTGCAGGGGTGACGACAATATACGTCCACATGAAAATGTGGGCGTATAAAAACAAAGGTAAATTGAAATAACACACAAATAGCACTGACAAGGTCAAGTCTACATTGTCATTAATTCCTGTAAAGGTACACATATCATCAAAATTTAGTTATCCTTTTTCCTTATATCATTTGTAAAGAACCAGAGCAAGTTGTATTGTCAGAGCAAAGGTAAGTTATTTAATACAATTAGTATTACTTACAAAGATCTGTTAAATGAATCAACCTGTCCTCTTAGTTCGTCCTCTGTTACTGTTTGATGACATTTGTTATCAAAGGTACAGGCATAGGTCTGAATAAATGGCAATAACCCAGCTGAGGGCATAGCTTTTCCATCATAGTGACCTGAAAAAACAACAACAAATGTTTACTTTTGTGAAAAAGTTGTGATTAATATGTGATTATTATATAATCATTAATACATGCACGTATAAATTGCTCTATCATATAGCAATGGTATATGTCAACAACATCTTGGGTTGATAGGAACAGCTGCATATTCATTGGCTGTTTACATTACACAAGTAAGAACATGACACAATGATAAAACATGTTTCAAGTAAGTCCAATAAAATACCAAATATAAAACAAACAAAAAACTAATTGAAAAACATCGGATTTTATACAGATCAGACAGATATATATGGCACTGCAACATTGATGCAAGATAGGTTGCCTAGAAAACGAAACATACGACCACAGCAACTCAATTGTCTGGAGCAGTAGACAAGTGTTGTCACATAGTTATTCTTTTGTAGATAATGCAAGCATCTACAAGACACTGATATCAATTTCATACAGATCGAATGATAACTTTTGTTGTTAGAGCATTCACAAGGTTCAAAATGGTGAAACAAGGACCATAACTGTAGCAGTTATTTACAGAAATTGCTGAAATACAATAGGCTTCGTTGTTCTACTAATCTAAATGATGCATGTAAATATAATGCTTTTGTCGTTAACAAGGGGTTAAAAGATAGGTTGCCAGGCAACGAAACATACGCTCACAGCAGTTAAATCGTCTGAGCGGTCGACAAGGGTTGTCGCATATTTATTCCTTTGTAGGTAATTGAGGGCCTTTACAAGACAATTCCATACAGATCAGATTATAATTGTTGCCGTTTGAGGGTTCACAAGGTTCTACAAACTGAAACAAGGGTCTCAACTCTGGAAGTAATCTACAGAAATTGTTTAAATTTGACAGGCTTTTTCGTTTTACTAATTTAAATAATGCATATAAATTTCATACTGATCAGATGATCACTTTTGTCATTCAAACGTTCAAAAGGTTCACAACCGCCATGATGGAAATTGCTGAAATTCAATAGACCTCTGATTCACAAATTTTAATGATGCATAAAAATTAATTTCATCGATCGAGCATCAACAAAGTTGAACAAAGTGAAACAAGGGCCATAACTCTAGAAGTAATAAATTGCTGAAATTCAACAGGATTCTTCTCTTTACTAATTTAAATGACGCAGGCAAATTTCATACAGATCGGCAGATAACTTTTGATGTTAGAGCGTTCACTAGGTTCAATAAAGTGAAACAAGGGCCATAACTCTAGACGTGATAAACAGAAATTGCTGAAATTGAATAGGCCTCTTCGTTTCACTAATTTAAATAATGCATATAAATTTCAGAGAGAACGTATGATAACTTTTGACGTTGGAGCGTTCACAAGGTTCAATAAAGTGAAACAAGGGCCATAACTCTAGACGTAATGAACAGAAATTACTGAAATTATATAGACTTCTTCATTTCACTAATTTAAATCATGCATATAAATTTCACAAAGATTGGGTGATAACTTTTGTGTTCGAGCATTCACAAGGTTCAATAAAGTGAAACAAGGGCCATAACTCAAGACATAATAAAGGGAAATTGCTGAAATTCAATAGGCTTCTTCAGTTCCCTAATTTATTATTGCATATAAATTTCACAAAGATCGGATGTTAACTTTTGGCATTAGAGCGTTCGCAAGGTTCAACAAAGTGAAACAAGGGCCATAACTCTAGACGTAATAAACAGTGTAGCCGCCAACCCCGAACAGACCGGCTTCGCTCAGGGGGGTCATAACTCCGAAACCGGAAGTGGTAGACTAACGCCACCTGGCCTATGTTACTCCCTGGTCCGAGCTACCCCTATGTCCCAAATTTCAGACTCGGGGCAGACCTAGTGTAGCCGCCAACCCCGAACAGACCGGCTTCGCTTGGGGGTCATAACTCCGAAACCGGAAGTAGTAGACTAACACCACCTGGCCTATGTTACTCCCCGGTCCGAGCTACCCCTATACCCCAAATTTCAGACTCGCGGCAGACCTAGTGTAGCAGCCAACCCCGAACAGACAGACAGATACCCGGCTTCGCTCGGGGGTCATAACTCCAAAACCGGAAGTGGTAAACTAACGCCACCTGGCCTATGTTACTCCCCAGTCCGAGCTACCCCTATATCCAAATTTCAGACTCGGGGCAGACCTAGTGTAGCCGCCAACTCCGAACAGACCGGCTTCGCTCGGGGGTCATAACTCCGAAACCGGAAGTGGTAAACTAAAGCCACCTGGCTTATGTTACTGCCCGATCCGAGCTACCCCTATACCCCAAATTTCAGACTAGGGGCAGACCTAGTGTAGTCGCCAACCCCAAACAGACAGACAGACAGACAGACAAACGACAGTCACAAATATATATATAGATAAATTTAGCAAAATAGAGATTATTCAACGGGAATCGTTGAATGATACCATCTTGTCGTACTTCGTAGCACCTCCACTAATCCTGTGATTAATAATTAATTATCTACACCCCCACCGGTTAGTTAAAAAGAACTGTGAAAATAACAATAAACCCGGGATTACCTGTTAATTAATCTTTTGTTTTATTAAATGACAAACCCTGATTATTGTTTTCACATGTATTGAAACATTATTTGATACTGATTGAATAAACTAATACTAGTCGCGATCATTTAGTATCTATCTCCCATTGCCACTTTGAAGCTTAAGAGAATTTTTCGCACCTCCTATATTGATAAAATAAAATTAATTCATGGATTGTCTTCACAAAAATGGATAAATATTATCGAATACATCACAGTGGTTGACAGTAGTATCAATGTTGGTACAAAATGACATGTTTACAGAAGATATATCAGAGATTTGTGTCAAATAATTTTCGTCCCAAGCAAGTTTCAGCGACGGCCAAATTTACAGATGCAAGTATTGATGTTTGCTCCCAATGCATCCAAGCATAAAATTTACTTATGTCAGCACTAACATACACTCAGATTTCATTGAGAGGTCACTCCCGTTAAGCAGCCATTCATGAAAATTCTCTTGAGTGGCTGCTTAATACAGATTCTACCGTATATCAATTTTAAAACAACTGGATGATAACTTTTGGCGTTCACAAGTTCGAATTTAGTCAAGGTAATGATATAATGAATCTATACTCGGAGTTTCATCAATCTCACTTAATTAAAATCAAGGTTATCAAAATTATCATACTCCAAAGCATCAACCAATCAGACTGTTTATCTCTGCTTACCATAAGCAGACAATGTTTATCTTCGAATTCTATCAAGGCATTGACCTAATGAACACCTAGACCAAGTTTGAACATTCTACCTCAATTAGAAGGAGAGTTATTGTGTTCCACAGTAATGACCAACAAATTGCTTATCTCTCTCTGCCTACCCTGAGCAGAAAATGCTCACTATCAAACTTAGTCAAGGTATTGATGTGATAAAACTACACACCATGTGTCCTCACTCTCACTTAATTAGAACTAACATTATCGTGGTGTCCCAAAGCATCAACCAATCAAATTGTTTATCTCTGCTTACCCTAAGACAAAAATTCTCATTTTCGAACTCCATCAAGGCATTCACCTAATAAACACCTACGCCAAGTGTGAACATTCTAGCTCAATTTGAATGAGAGTTATTGTGTTCCAAAGTCTCGACCAATAAAATTGCTTAATGCTCTGCTTACCCTAAGCAGAAAATGCTCATTATCGAACTTGTCAAGGTATTGATGTAATAAAACTACACACCAAATTTCATCCCTCTTACTTAGGCCACCTAAAAAAAATTGTTGGTGATCGTCCTTTTTTTTCAAAAAAATGTGGGAGGGAGGGAGGGTTTATTTTATTATTTTTTTTTTTTTTAATGAATATACAGAATAAGCAATATACTTCAATAATATTAACCTTTTATTTCACGTCAAAACACAACTCATCTGCATATAAAGCCGCTGCTCGTCATTTGAATTGTTCAGATTAATTATTTAAACTTTAAATATTCCGGCTTGGATTCAATCAGATAATATAAAGAGATTTATAACTGAACACTTAAGCCTATAGGTGGTGCCGACGGGTTTAATAAATGTTACAGGATATCAAATGTTGCAAAATTTTCAATTCATATCATGTCTTTGGACTGATATACTTTTCAGACATTCAACTTTCATAATATTGTATTTTGCGAATAGTAAGACCAGAAGTGCCCGTAAAAAAAAAAAGAAAAAAAAAAAAAACATTTTGCATAACGACTTACGATCACAAATAGTCGGTCAATTTAGTAATTCATGCCCCCATGGCCATTCCGAAAATCTATTGTTACATTTATTCGAGAGACTGTTCCATGTAATTCAGAATCGGTGAGATGTATTCCCATCTTAACATATAGTTCCAGGTTGTATTGTATTCAAATAATTGTATTTGGTGCTGTACGCGTGCAAAAGAAAATGTTGGCCATTGCTGCCATTAACAGGCCGTAATTTGTTTATGTCATTCAGTCCTACGCATTTTAAGACTATTGGAACATGTGCCAATAATTATATCCGCTTCATTAACTCTTGCGATTAGGAATTTCGTAGCCTGGTTACATTTTGGAACTTTTACCATTGGTTTTAAACATCGTAAAAAGGTAAATTTTGAAAATAAAAAATAAAACCATCGGCTGCCAGGCAGGATACGCCTACATTTTCGAGAGATGGATAGAGAACAAGCGAATATCAAAAGGAACCGAGATCTTTGGGTTATAAACTTACATTTCAAGTTTCAACAAAATCGGATAAAAATTATGACCTCTATAGGGTCCACAACCTTGATATACCATATTTTTACGCTAATTGAGAACGGATGGCGGCCATTTTGTCTGTCAGTTTTGGGCTGATTTTCACGAAAATTGAACTCAACCGTCCTTAGGGTGTAACGGTAATATAATAATAAGTTTTTTTAAATCAGATAAAAATTATGACCTCTATAGGGTCCACAAGCTAAAAAGGCGATTTTTCGTGCAATCAGGGCCATAATTCAGGAAGTTACAGTCCGATATGCGCG